CGACAGAGCCAAGGTTTTTAATCAAAGTCCGAAAGCTATTTTGGATGAGAACACTATGGGTAATTTCGTATAAGCTATTGTTATCCAATGTTTCGCATAAACAATCCGATGCGCGTGCGCCACATACATATATAAATGAGAAATCGATAGTCATCAGTTACTACGTAAGCTGATTATTATCGATCGCAATAAACTCTCTCTCTCTCTCTCTCTCGCTCTCTCTCTCTCTCTCTCTCTTTCTCTCTTTCTCTTTCTTTCTTTTTCTCTTCGATACCGTGTGTTCATGTTTTATTCATGTATGTTCTAATAACAAACATTGAAAAAATTTGATGTTAAATAAATGTTTGTCGTATAAACGATTTAATTGATTTTTCAATATATTATATATCATTGAAGCATTGTAATTGATAGGAACGAGAAATCGTACCAAAAGTCTATAAGAGGATTAGAAAAGACGATCTCTATGAAATGAAAATAATATTTTTTCGTAGAATAATATTAACTTTGATATTGGATATAAAATTTTGGTAAATGATTTAATATTATCGTACAGATAATAAAGTAACATAATATTATATTTGCGTGAAGATAAATCTTTTTCTTTCTTTTTATTTTTTTTTTCGTTTGTCGAATTAGATTTTTAGATTTAGTTGGTCGTACATCTGATTAATATATCTCTTAGAAATGTACACATACACACAACCACATATGTGTTTGTTATATAAGAAAAGAAAAAAAGAAATTAGTTTGTAACACTTGTGATTAGAAATTTTCAAAAATAAAAATATCGAGATTATATATATATATATACATATATATATATATATATATATATATATAATATATATGTATATATATATATTAAATATATATATATATATATATTTATTTATTTATATAATATTATATTTGTATTAATGTTTTTATTTTCGATTATATATTTACATAATGTTCACTTTATCTATAAAATAAATTCGCTTGTTATACGTTCCCAAATATATTCCTTTCCATTATGGTTAAACGTTTTCTTGAAGATATCGATCGAAAATTCGAAAATAAAAGAGTACATTTATAAGATACGTATGAAAAATATATCATGCAACGTAATAGAGGGAACTTGTTACTTTCCGTCTTTATAAAATATAAATAAATTACCAAGTAGAAAGGTCTGTAAATCGGTTGGTTTTTTTATGAAACAAAAAGAAAATGGTTTACCACTTTGAACGTGGGATACTTTAAAATCTTCAAAGGAACCGTAAAATAAATTAGGGAAGTTCGAGAAAAATATTTTCTCGACGTTAAAGAAAAAAGGTGAAAAGAAACATGAAAAATAAAAGAGAAAAAGAAAAATGCAAAAAAAAATGGCCGAACGTAAAAATGACATAATTCATTTAAGGTCGATTCACACAGTTAAATATTCGTTTCGATTGTTCGATTATAGTAATTTTAACGTTATGTAAATATATTTATACGATTTTAATGTAATTTAATCTTAATTCAATCACCGATCCGTTCATATTTTCTCTGTGTCAAAGAGAAGATCATCGTTTGAAATAATGGTCAAAGATGCTCTTTTTCTTATTTTTTTTTTTTTTTTTAAATTGATGATACGCAGTCTTTTGTACTACACATCATTATATTGTGAAGATATCACTATATATATATGTATATATATATATATATACACATACATATGTATATATATATATATATATATATATATATATATATATATATATAAGCGTGTGTATTATGATACTAGATATATTATTACAAAATTTCATTATCAGAAAAAAAATTGTTGATACATATTGTGATCAAGTGAAAACATATTAACAAAACTGGTTCGTCGTTATAATATAATGCTTTATCATTTGTCAAATAAATATATTTTATTATTTTCCTATAAATATATTTATTTATTTATTATAATATATATTATATATATTTTATTTTTCAATTTCTTTTTTTTTTTCAAAGTAAATCAAATCAATTTCACCGATACTTTAAGATATACCATAAATTTCGATTTAGTCATCTATGAAGTTTTTATATAATAATAATATCAATGTGTACATTTTCCTTCAATTTATAATCTCTTTTTTCTTTTTTTATTTTAAAAATTCATAACATTTTCTTTTTATATTTGAACGTATTTATTTTCCTTTATACAACAAAACTTTCTTTATTTCATAAGAAATTTATTAAAACTCTTCCAATGTAAATTTATCTGACTTGTTTATTTTCAATTTCTTTTTTTTTTTTCTTTATTGTCAAAAGGTAAGAGTGAACAAACAAATACGATACAACTGATTTATATCTGATATAGGTATCACTGAATTGATATACGTGAATATAAATGACTGAAACTGGGACGACTGGTTCGGAATTCTTTTTCTCTTTTTTCTTTTTGTTTTGTAACGCTCGAGAAGATTTTCACGCGATAATATACGAATCGCATTAATTTTTTACTTATACGAACTATACAGAATGTCATCTA